TCTCTTCCAAGTTCAGTTTTGAGAGACTATGTGTTTCTAGACATTTGTCCATTTCACTTAGATTGTCATATTTGTTGCCATATAATTGTTCAGATATTTGTAAACAATCCTTTGTATTTCTGTGGTGTCAGTTATTATTTCTCCTCTTTCATTTCTGATTTTGTATATTTGGTTTCTCCCTCTTTGTTCCTTACTGAGTCTAGCTAAGGGTCCATCAATCTTGTTTATCTTTTCAAAAAACCAGCTCTCTGTTTCACTGATCCTTTGAATTTTTTTTTTTTTGGTGTCCATGGCATTTATTTCTGCTCTGATCTTTACTATTTCCTTCCTTCTACTTGCTCTGGGGTTTTCTTTTTGTTTGCTTTCTAGTTCTTTAAGTTGTGAGGTTAGATAGTCTGTTAGAAATTTTTCTTGTTTCTTGAGGTAGACTTGTAGTGCTATGAACTTCCCTCTCAGAACTGCTTTCATTGTATCCCATAGATTTTATGTTGTGTGTACATTTTCATTGGTTTCTAGGAAGTTTTTAGTTTCTTCCTTGATCTCCATGGTAACCCATTCATTGTTCCATAACATGCTATTTAGCCTCCAAGTGTTCCAATGTCTTTGCATGTTCCTGTTGCAATTGATTTCTAGTTTCATGTCATTGTGATCTGAGAAGATGCTTGAACTTGTAGAGACTTACTTTGTGTCGTATCATGTGGTCTATCCTTGAGAATGTCCCATGTGCACTTGAGAAGAATGTGAATTCTGTAGTTTTGGGGTGCAATTCTCTGTAGATATCTATTAAATCCATTTGATCTAGCACTTCATTTAGAGTCTGTGTTTCCTTGTTAATTTTTTGTCTAGAAGATCTTTATAGTGATGTCAGCAGGATGTAGAAGTCCCCTGCTATGATTGTATTGCTGTTGATTTCTCCTTTGAAGTCCTCCAAAGGATTTTTAATATATGTTGGTGCTCCTATATTGGGTGCATATATGTTTACCAAGGTTATATCTTTTTGTTGGATAGATCCTTTCAATATTATGTAGTGGCCTTCTTTGTCTCTAAGTATGGCCTTCATTTTGAAATCTACTTGATCAGATATGAGTATTGCTACCCCAGCTTTTTTTTTGCTTTCCATTTGCTTGAAAGATTTTTTTCCCATCCCTTCACTTTCAACCTATGTGGTTCTTTTGTTGTGAGGCTGGTCTCTTGTGAACAACATGTATGTGAGTCATGCTTTTTTATTCAGTCAGCTAGTCTGTGTCTTTTTATCAGAGCATTCAAACCATTCACATTTAATGTGATAATTGATATGTACTTATTTATTGTCATTTTTGTTTAATGTGGTTCTATTTTTCTTCCTATTTCTTCTATTAATTACAACAGTCCTTTTAGCATATCTTGCAATGCTGATTTGGTGTTAATATATTCCCTTAGCCTTGTTTTGTCTGGAAAGCTCTTTATTTGACCTTCTATTTTGAATGATAGCCTTGCTGGATAGAGTAGTCTTGGATTCAGATCCTTGATTTTCATGACCTTGATTACTTCATGCCACTCCCATCTGGCCTGTAGTGTGTCTGTTTGGTAGTCAGCTGAGAGCCTTATGGGGTTTCCTTTATTGGTAACCTGTTGCTTATCTCTTGCTGCCTTTAGTATTCTCTCTTTATCTTTAATTTTTGGGATTTTAATTACTATGTGGGCCTATTTGGGTTCTTCTTACTTGGGACTCTCTGTGCTTCTTGAACTTGAATGCTGTCTTTCTTCAATAAGTTAGGAAAGTTTTCTGTCACTGTTTCTTCAAATATATTGTCTAATCCTTGCCCATTTTCTTCCTCTTCGGGGACTCCTATGATGTGAATGTTATCACGTTTTCAGTTGTCCCACAGTTCTCTTAAGCTATCTTTCTGTTTTTTCCTTTTGATTTTCTGATTGGTTGATTTTTTTCTACCCTGTCTTCTAATTCACTTATCCAGTCTTAGCTTCCTCTACTCTGCTGGTTAGTGCTTCCAATGTGTTCTCTATTTCTGGTATGTCATTCTTCATTTTTTCTTGATGGTTTTTCATTTCCAATTGGTTGATTTTCACTGTTTTTATATCTTTACTCATGGTGTTGATGTCCTTACTCATGCTGTTGAGCTTCCTCAGGATCATGGTTCTGAACTCAAACTCTGATAACTTGCTTAACTGCATTTCATTTATCTCATCTTTGGTAGAGTTCTCTTGTTCTTTCATTTGAGGTCTGTTTCTTTGTTTCACCATTTTGACTATCTCAGTGGGTTTTGGAGCCTGCCAAATTTTCCATGTGGATGTTGGTGTTCTACTGTTTGTGGCTCCTGCTACTGGGTTTGGATGAGCCTGAGTTAGCCCACGTTAAACACCACTGTCAAGTCTTACTTTCCTGGGTAGATTTGCAAGCCCTGAAAAGGTTCAGTTATTCTCTGGGTTCTTCCTGGAGGCTTATAGTCTCAGTTACTCAGTGCCTTGAAATGTAGCCCTGGTGTTCTGCCTAAGAGGATTTCCAGAGGGTGGGATAGATGCTGGTTGTTAATGAGCCTCAATTTGCATTTCTTTGTCTAACCTGGGAAAGGCTGAATCTCCGAGGCAGGGGATTGGGGGAGGATGGGACAGGACACTGCTGCTTCCCCCCACAGCTCTGTGAAGGAGCACACTGGCCACCATCCTTTGTGGCTGCAGCTCAGCAAAAACTGTGAGTGCCCTCCAAATCCCGGTTGTCCCCACAGAGTTCCAGCCCAGTCTGCCCTCCCTCTGCTGTAGCCCTCAGGTGAGAGGCTGTGTCTTTTTTAGCACTCTGTCCCAACTCTCTGTGCTGTGTAGCAGGCTTGGTCTTTATTCTCCAAGGGCGCTGCTCATACCTAAGACTGCTGCTGTCCGTGGGCTCCAAGCCCGCCACCCTCTAGTGTCTCCTCAGATCCTACCAGTGTTCCTGGTTATATGGCCCTGTCCTGCTGCTTTTCTCTTGCTTTTTTCTGAGGATTTGTCTTTATTTTATTTGTAATTCCCATTTGGTCCTGGGAGATGCTCTGTGTAGCTTCCATTCACTCCACCTCCATTTTCACTTCCTCTATGCCTATCTTATGAGCAGATGGGTTGCATAGGCCTTTCTGGTGCCCCCACACCCTGAAGATCCCATGGGTAACTGGATCGCACAGTCCCTTTGGGGACCCTGCTCTATGCCTATCTTATGGGCTGCTGGGTCGCACAGGCCTCTCTAGTGCTTCAGCACCCTGCAGATCCCGCTTGTATCTGGATCACACAGTCCCTCCTGTGTCATACAGGCTTCTTTGGTGCCCCCACACCCTGTAGGTCTCATGGGCAGGCAGCTGGATTGTACCAGTTTCTCTCGGGCTCCAACTTCCCATGGCTCTTGTGGGCTGCTGGGTCGCACAGACTTTTTTGGTGCCCCAGCACCCCACAGGACACATGGGCAGCTGGTTCATACCAGTCCCTCTCAGGCTCCAGCTTCCCACTGCTCTCTTGAGCTGCTAGACCACACAGGCCTCTATGGAGCCCCAGATCCCACTGCTGGTTATAGGGGAGTGCTGCTGCCCCTTGGGGCTCAGCTTCTGCTCAGCCTTTGCTGTAGTTTTGGGGCATGGTTCTCTGCTGCTGGTCTGTGCTTCTGTTGCCTGGGGATGGATGTCTGCTCCCCAGCCTCCGTTGCTGGGGTACATCTCAACTCTGATTGGGCTGCTACTATGGGGGATGGTCCTGGGCTCCCAGCTGTCTGCTGCTTTCGTGACAGGCACCATGGTAGCTCCACTACTGTGCACTGGTCTGTGTTGACACAGAGTGTCCACTGGTCCGATGGAGCCAGGTGTGCTGGTGGGCTCAGGTTGCGAGGCCCTAGGTGCTCCCACTGCCTCCTCCCCGGGAAGACCCGGGATCTTCCAAAATGTTGGGACCTCCCCGTGGAGCAGGGAGAAGCACCCTGAAAATCTGCTCACCACGGTAGCTGGCTGCTTGGTCCACAGCACAGGAACCTCTGCTCGAGGCTCTGCACTGCAGGAGTTTGGTCATCCACCTTCATGTCCATTCACACTCTCTCACACACTAGCTCACTCTCTCACACACTCACCCTCTCTCTGGTTCTGCCTGCAGCCATCTTCCCCTTTCTTTTATTTTAAATCTTTACCCATAACCAGCCTTCAAATAAAGGCTTTATAATGGAGGTAGTACTTGAGTTGGTCTTTGAGCATAGGTAAGGCAGTCAGTCAAATATGGACAATCTTGTAGAGTGCGTATGAGTTCAATCTGAAGAGTGGTATTACCTGCCAATAATGACAACTTCACCTGAAATCTATTTCTATATGAATTGCATATTGCCAGTTCTTTTATATTATCTTATACACAAGGATCTCTAGTAAAAGTGGTAATATTCTCATATCTTACCATTGCTGGACCAATTCGAAAAATTTAGTAAAGCTGAACAAACCTCATTGGTTGCTAAGTCTATATTTGTATCAATTCACTATCTAAATGCAATGTTATCTTTCTCATGTTTGGCCTGCATAATCACCATCACCACACAGAGGTTATATAAACAGAACATCCATGAACAGGCTATATAAACAGAAACAACCTTTGTGGTGCAATAAAAAGGGCATTATCTGTGTGTGAATCTGACAAACAAATCTAAAGTTTTCAAAATTGATTAGCTGCATTTTTATCAACTTTACTGAATCTCAGTTTCTGAATTAAAACTAATTATATTGAGAGATTAACAAAAGTTTATGTAGAGGCCTGGTACAGACAAATTTCCTATCCCTATGTATGTTTACTTTTCCTGAAGCAACTAGATTGTCTTTGTGTTTTAAGAAATTATAGGTTTTTCTGTAATTAAAATTTTTATCATGAGTGAATCTTGGGGGAAAAAATAATTCTTCCAAATTTGGAGCAGCTGTTATGTATTACGAATGTATCTTATTTGAATGCTTATTAATTAAAAATGTGAAAATATTTTATGATGCCATCACATTTCGTTTTCTTTTGCCTTTTAGGAGCCTAAGTTGCCAAAGGATTACTTTGCACAAAAATCTGTTCTTCTCTTTCATTTGCAACTCTATTGTAACAATAATTCACCTCACTGCTGTGGCCAACAACCAGGCCTTAGTGGCCACTAATCCTGTAAGTAAAACGAGGTGTGTCCTTAGGTTCAAAGGTGAGAAAGATATGGGAGACACGAGAGGTTCAGATATCAGTACTATGCGTGTAATTAAGAACTCATATATGTAGTATATTTTAAAGTCTGACATACTGAGTATATGTAGCTATATCCCAATCTAGAGAGGTAAATATATCTCAATATTTCTTAAGTTAAAATGATTGAATATTAAAATGAAGAATACTTTTTTTTTTGCTTCAAGTATTTATATATGTTACACATATCTTCAACTCAATGTATGCCTAGAGTTGTGCTACTGGTAGGACATTAGAGTTTATGAATGTATAACCTTTAATCATTCAAATTAAATAATCAACTCACTTTGTTGTTAGAAAAAAAACAGAAAATGGAAAATTTTAATTATATTTTTGGTATCCAGCTGACTTTAAAAAGTTAAAAAAAAATAGAGAAAAATGAATTATATACCCCCTATATAGTGTTGAACTTTATTGTCATAAAATTTTTAAAGGGCTCTACCAAGTCCTTGTGTCTCAGCAAACATTTATAATTTGTTTCCTTACAATTTCTTTGGAAGCACAATTTTTAGGGTGGGTATCAAAAGATATATAAAAATAAGCACAGAAACTGTCATAACATAAAGCTATATTTTTAAAACATAAACTAAAATTTACTTATACAAATGTATATATCTTTGTAAGTTATATGTCTGTGTAAGCTATATTTAAATTAAAATATCTGCATAAATAAAAAACATCAAGTTTTTAAAATCATATTTTTCATAATGTTTATAATATCTATACTATAGTTTTATATGGATTTTTGGAGGGGTGTGTATATATGTATGTATAAAGTGGTTTTTTAAGAGATTAAGTTATCTAGTTACTGAAATCAGGAAAGGGAAGGAATTTTCACTCAATGGGTCAATAAACAATACTCTCATGTGTTTTATGTGTGTGGTTTAGGGTAATTTCCAAAATTCTAAAAGTCCCAGCATTGTTTGTACATGTGCATCCGGATTGCTTAATTTTGTATATGTTCCACTCTAAAGTCACTGGGTGAGGAAACACACCAGGGTATAATTAACAATATAAAAACTCCAGCCAATGTCCTGTCATGTTAGAGTAAATTTCTCTAGAGCAGGGAGATTCGGAGTTCTGTCATGAAGCTGCAGAACAAAAGATTCTATAGCTTACAGTTATATACAAGGACAGAGTGTTTAACTCAACTTGCAAACTGTATATACTTAGTTTTAATATATTCCTGGAAAATTTATTGTCTGTTTTTATCATAATGCCCATTATTAAGATATTTTTTGAAGCATGCTTTAAGTTATTTTTATCATAATGGTTAATGGCTTAATTTTTTAATCTAAATTAGGAATTAAAAACTCAATTAGATAGTAATATCTAAAAACTATATAGACAAAATTTTGAAACTGAATTCTTATATTTTCTATATAATATAGTAAAATAACTCTTTTAACTTTCAAAGCACTTTCTAATATGGTTTTATGTTTGACATCAAGGTGTGTTATTTAAAATTTAATGTCATGCAATCTAAAAATATTTAAAGAAAGAATAGGTTTTATAAATGTCCTAAGAAGACGTTGTGTATAGCCATGAAAACAAAATTGGAATTACAAGACTTGTGTTCACGGTGTAGCTTTAATTGATGTTGTATGAATATTAGAAAATCATTTAACTTTTTTAGTACAGTTTTTATCTATGAAATATGTGATTAATCATAATTAAAAATAATTAAAATTTAATTTAAAATAATTAAAAATAATTCTCAGAATTATTTTAAGGATTAAATAAAACAATGTATACCAAAAATAATTTTTCACCCTGGCTGGTTTGGCTTAGCAGTAGAGTCACATGGGAGTCAACCAACCTACATATCTCTCTCCCATCAAAGTTTCTCTCTCTCTCTTTCTCTCTCCCACTCTATCTGAAGATAAAAATGGAAAAAGTATCCTTGGGTGAGGATTTAAAATAAATAAATAAATATATATATATATTTTAGCTAACTCATATGCAAATGTTATTATTACAATTCTATGATAAACCAATATTTATTTTCCAATACATTTCATTCCCAATTTTCTTTTTAGTGAGAAAATATTTATTTCAAAAATTATGATAATTGCCACTAAATATTTATTGAGTTCCAGATTGGAAATTGGAGCTGATGGGAGTAATTGGTCATGTATTTCTGAGAGACCTTTTAATTTATTTCCCTTGTTAGGAGAGTAAGTTGTATCTCTTACTTTGTGTTTTCTTTACCCTATATTTGAAGCTCCCTCTTCCTTTCTCTTTAAAAGTAGAGAAGAGAAAGTGAAGACTTCAAGAAGAGAGGAAGAAAAACCAGTACTTTTTCTCCTTTTTACCTACATGAAACCCCATATTGGGATAGGATAAAGTATAAGCTCATTATATTATTATTTAGTAAGTATTTGCACTAGTAGCATGTAATATGCAAGTTTTTCCAAGTATTTGGCACTTTTCATTAATTGCTTTTATAATTATTAAGATTTTTCCCAAGACAATACAACAATCAATGAGTTCCATAAAGACATAATTAAAATAAATGTAAATAGATGTAAAGTCATTCATGTGTGAAACTTTTACACTTGTAATTATATAATACCTAAAACATATTGAGAAAATATACCTCCACTAAATGTAGTAGATTTGGAATCTACACATTTCCTTGGCAGGTCACCATTATAAATCTTTGGAGTCAATGGCTAAAACTTTAGAGGTACTATTAGATGAGATTGAAGACTGGTGTTTTACAAATCTGAATCATTTGTATGTAAGATTTTGTGTAGAGAAAAGAGAATTTCATGTTTCTGTGTAACCGATCTAGACTTTATATCTGAATACATAAACAACTAAATATTGATTGCTTTCCTTTTTTTCTCACAGGTTGGTTGTAAAGTGTTCCAGTTCATTCATCTTTACCTGATGGGCTGTAACTACTTTTGGATGCTTTGTGAAGGTGTTTATTTACACACACTCATTGTGGTGGCTGTGTTTGTGGAGAAGCAACACTTAATGTGGTATTATTTTCTTGGCTGGGGTAAGTCCCATCACATATACCTGCTGATTCATCTTATTAAGAAATCTTTGTTTACATGATGTAGAGTTCCTTTGTAATAAAAGCATATTTATTATTAATCATTTTAAATAATTTCAGGTGATTAACCTATGCTTACTGTTGTAAATGTAAACATTTAAATAAAATACTACTAATTCATTGTTTTCATTAGTCACTGGACATTACTAATGCAATGCTTTTTACTATTTAATATTCCAATGTGTATCTTGGCTAAATACATAGTGACTAAAACAATAGAATTAGAATAATGAATTAGGATCCAGTCTTTGTACTCCTTTGAATTTTCTTTTTCCTTATATGCAAAATGAGAACATTGGGCTTAGCCAGCTTTGACTTTCCATTTTAAAAATGTTTATTGAAAACATTTTTTTTTAATTTTATCTAAAAGTATAGGGATCAATTTTTGAATAAGAGAATGCAAAATATCTAATTTTTTTCACATAATGTCCTGATGTAGTATTATTCACAAAGCAAACAATGATATACTTCTAGCATTTAAAAAACAGGAATAATGCAAAATACAAAATGCTGAAAATAAATTCAATAGGACTAATTTCCAGAAACATAACTAAAATTATGCTTTATCTATCTATCTATCTATCTACCTACCTATCTATCTATCTACTATCATCTATCTATCTATCTATCTATCTATCTATCTATCTATCTATCTAGATACCTAGATATCTAGATATCTAGATATCTATCTACCTACCTACCTATCTACCTAATCTACCTACCTACCTACCCAGTCAGACAACAGATACAGAAATATACAACTATGCTTGCACACACAGTCTTTGGTACATTCAGGTTTACCTTTATAAATATTTCTTTAAAAGATCTGATATAGAATGTTCAAAACACAAAAAATTTATGATACATAAAACATCTTTTTCTTCTTTTTGTTTTCTTTGTATAGTCAGATAGTCCCAACTATTTTCCACATGTGATCATCTACCATATACTGGCCAATTCCATGGTACAGAAAATACATGAATGCTGGATTTCATTTATACCTTGGGGCTTAGGCAGCACATCTGTGGACTGAAGTTCACTGATTCAGAATGATACACATTAGAAAAAAACATACACACACAAACCTGAAAGTATAAATAGGTAATATTTTACCATATTTACTGTTTGATCATACAGATAATATTTATTCAATAAATTTAACCAGTTATCTTTGCTAATAAAGTATCTCTGAATTACACATTTTATGATATATTTTAGGATTCCATCTGTAGAAGTTGCCTATTTATTATTTTTCTTTGATATTTCCAGGATTTCCACTGATTCCTGCTTGTATACATGCTGTAGCCAGAACCTTATATTACAATGACAAGTAAGATACTATCTCTTTATGATTTCTATTAGAACTCAGTAAAACAAAAATCTTCAACATAATTTCTCTGTTCTTCCCCCTAGCTGCTGGATCAGTTCTGATACTCACCTCCTCTACATTATCCATGGCTCAATTTGTGCAGCTTTACTGGTATGTAATTAATTAAAATTCGCCTTTTTTCATTAGTGTTCATATTTCAACTTCATTTCCTGAGTCATCTGGCCTATGGTATCCTTCCAGTTCCTAGTGGACACAGACAACGTGCTCTCAGTGTTTAATTGAAGAGCGTTTGTTGAAGGTGTTATATTAGTTGTTGGCAGGAAGAGTAAAGGAACCAATTCATAAGAGCGGGTGAGGCATGAGGGACCAACAGTGGAAGTTGTAACCACAGCAAGACGTGCAGAGGGGACAGAACAGAGTTACGGATTTGCGCAAGTTCTGGGAGGAATCGCCCAACAGGAGCTTTGGCCTTGGGCAGAGGAACACAGGCACTGCCAAAACCACAGCCTCGTGGGGAAAGAGAAAGAGAAAGAAATACTCAAACTTCTTCCTCTTCCCATGCTCTCATCTCGTGGTTCCTCCCACTGGCCAAATGCAGCAGATGTCAGAGGGTAAGAAAGCCTGAGTGACACAGTTCTCAGCCGAGCCTCAGGGCCTCCTAGGGCCCAGAGCCGAACAGAGGAGGGCAGAGCATGGATCCAGTATGTGGGGATGGTAAGCAAGAAAACCCTACACAGCTAAGTTGGTAATGAGAGTAATATTCCAATAAAGAAAAGACTTTAATTTGAAAAAAACGAAGTATTGTTTTGTTATTACAATGATCGTGACTTAAGGCAAGTGCACTGCACATTTTTAAGTGTGGTTGCAAAGAAACAGAAGTCACATTTAATGCTCTTGGTACATTGTTTCAATGGGGAAATAAATAAATCCAAATTAATATGCTTTCTCTCATAGTGCATTAAAGAACAGAATGTAATTACAGCCTTATATATAAAAAGACAAAAGTGGTGTATTTTCCAGCCAAAATACAAAGTTTCCTAACCCAGATCCTTTTTTATTAGACAAATATTTTTCTATTATTTTACTATATTTGCTAGCTGCAATTTAGTGCATGGTTATGTGTGAACATGGTTCAAGCCATCCTCGAATGCATCATTGTTAAGCCATTCTCAGAAAGCGTGTCATAACTGAGGTGGTAAATTCTGGAGGCTGATCGCCTAGGTTTAAATTCTTCTCATCCTTGCTGTGTGACCTGAGGCCATGAAACTAATCACTCGGTGCCTCAAGTCCCTCATTTGTAAAATAATGTAATAATAATGACTTCTCATTTTTTTAACAAGGAATCAAATGAGTTAATATACAAAAAGTACATAGCCTGGCACATCTAAAGCATGTAGCATTTGCCAAATGTCTGGTTCGAGCCTAGCCACACAAGATAGCCAGTTGAAAACACCAACACATGGAATTTATTATGTCTCATGGAACTTTTAATATGACTTAATGTAGACTCTAGTGAAGATAGCAGAGGCAGAAGCTTTGCCCTTTCTTGCTCCCTACACATACTAAGGACATGTGTGACTCACTGTGTTTAAGCTACGCCCTGAGACGACCTAGCTGTGAACCCTTTATCCTCACAAGAGCTAGCAATGTAACCTAGGTTTCCCACTGCTGGTGTGGATCTCAGGGCTGGTTCTGTTCTGTTCTGTTTTGTTTTGATCTCTCTGTGACTTTGTTTCTCATCTGTGGTTATGAAATAATAAGAATAAATACCTCACAGGATAGTATAAGGCCTCAATAAGATAGGTATGTCCTATGAAGTGATTGACACAATGTCTAGAATATAATTAACTCTCAAAAATTTCTTTACAAAGTTTCTGAATTGTAATTTCTACATGACACCATGATTCTGTTCTGAGGAGAGTGCAAAGAAATGGAGATACATTATTTGGGTCACTCAGGAGCTTACAGAGCAAATACCCCGCAACATTTTATTATAAGAGATCTGACTCTGCAGAGTGTATGTGATACAATGCCTAAGTCAGAGAGGTTCAGGAAGAAGTGAAAGCACCTAGCAAATGAAAAATGCAACAGCAAATAACACAATCCTTGGGGAAGCCTGGCTACATGAACTTTGAGAGGGAAGACTAAATGGTACCATTAGGATAAAATATCACATAGGAATGTAGCCCAAGTTACTCAGTAAAAAGGGAGTGAAAATCCACATCACTTGCACAAAACTTTTTTCATCTTCTTGGCTTAAAAAAAAGATTAGAAGCCTATTTTTCTACCAAGATAAATTGTTCTGTTTTTATTTAAGCTCAAGGGCCCCTCACTGGTCCTGGTCAATTACAAGGTCAAGGGAGGGAACCTAACAATTGTATATATGGTCACCTGTTTTTATACAACTTTTTAAAATTGAATTTATTAGGGTTACATGGGTTAATAAAATGATATAGGTTAAAGGTGGGCACTTCTATAACACATCATCTGTATGTTGTATTGTGCGTTGACCACCCCGAGTCAAGTCTCCTTTCATCATCATTTACCCTCTCCTGCCTCCCTCACCCCCCCCTTCCCTCCGGTAACTACCATACTGTTGTCTGTGTCTATGAAGTTTTTTAGGTTTGTTTTTTCTTTTATAAATAAGATTTCAACTACAATTAGTTTCTTTCCACTTAGAGTTCCTCTGACACATTTCCTCTTGAGTAGGATGATGTTGGAATGGCTACAGCATTTTTGAGAAGCTGCTAAGGAGAAGTTCTAGGAGATATATTTAATTTGGGTTGAGAATGAGACATTTAGGTCACTTCGGTGCATAGTTAAGTGATTACTAGCTGTTCCAGTACAGAATGACTTCTAGGTATCCTCCTCCCACCATGGAGCTGATTCACCCTGCTTCCTGTCATGACCATAGGGTGGTACTGTGACATGAAAAGGTCCTATTGTGCGTAGCAGATATGTGAACTTCATGAGTGATAGAGTAAAACAGGCTTCTTCTCTTCTTAATTAGTTTTGCTCTAAGATAGATGAGATTCAGGTATAGTTCATCTGAAATTTTAAATTATTTTTCTAGTTTTTGTTTAAAATCAATAGAAGTATTTGCAGAAAATAAAGTAGGATGACTTTCTTGTTCCTAGTTTCACACTTTAAACCAGACTTGCCATTTTGGAGAGGTGCTTTGTATTTAGAAATGTTCTTATGATGGGCACCTAAACTGCATCATTTCTGACTTTATAATTTATGATTTTGCATAGTCTATATTCTAAATTTATAAACAGATCAAAGGGCATTATTATTACCTTTTTTCCCCTATGGGATAGTAGTAATTTCTATTTAGACAAAACTTTTGAAACAGCAATGAATGCCTAGGAAGGGGATATAATAGTATGGATGGAATAACATCTGATACGTTGATTTGTCAGGTCATTCTTACAGCTGTTGAAATGGCTTATTCTGCTTTTGTCTGTAACAGAGACATTCCTGTGTCTGCAACTAAGTTACTTTTCATGGATGTGTTTCCATCAGGATTATAGTGAGCATATTTTTTGAAACATATGTTCCACTGAATTATCTAAGAATAGTATCGTAATATTTTTATGCCCAGTTATTTTCATAACACATGCCTTAAATCAGCAAAGTCTGTTATTTGTTCATTGTTCTCTACATTGAATGAGATACTACCAGTATTTGTTTAATTTATCAAAGCACGTGGATATAAATTACATATTGGTAATTTTTGGATTATAAAAACAAGCACAGATGCTACGAGTCAGGGTGAGAAAAAGGGGAAAGAGAAGAGCATAATAGCATAAGAGCTGCAAAGGGCTCTTCTGGAGCTCAGGTCCCTATCCCCTGGAAGGCTCACAGCATGGGCCTGGGGAAAAGAGACAAAAGTAAAAGATACTGACATGGCTCAAGATAGGAAAAAAGAAGTAATATTCATGGGAAAGGGGAATATTTCAGCAGAACTCTGTTTTCTGAGTAATTTAGTCATCTACACTATATTTTAAAAGTTTTATGTCTCCCTTTCAAAGAGAATGTTTTCTCTTAGGGAATGTTGTTAAGACACAGTGAATATGTAACTACAGAAAGTAATCAACATAACAGAAAGCCCTGTGGGATGCCGATTTTTGTTCTCTCTCTAGGATGAGGTCGCTTGAATATCAACTAGTTCAAGTGTGTGATTCAGTCTACTCTAAGCATAAAGAGGGTTACAGTACTCTCTTGGAGGAGTTTTGAGGATTATTGTAACCAAAAACAACAAACAAACAAACAAAAAACCAGAGAGATAAACAAAAAAGATGAAAATGGTTACTATGGTGATAATACATATATTCAGAAATCACCTAATATGGACACTGATACAGAGGAGACACTTAAAAATTAGAATTTGTTCAAAACAAATATTCGTTGTTTGAGCTGAGAATATTTGAAAGCTTTCATTTTTGAACCAAAGCAAAATTCAAAAAAAAAAAAAAATGTATAAGAAGTCCAGCCAGTGTGGCTCAGTGGTTGAGCATCAACCCATGCACCAAATGGTCGCCAGTTTGATTCCTGGTCAGGGCACATGCCCAGGTTGTGGGCCCCATCCCCGGTGGGGGGCATGCAGGAGGCGGCTGGTCAATGTTTTTTCTCATCAGTGTTGCTGTCTCTCTCTCCCTCTCCCTTCCTCTCTCTCTAAAATCAATAAAGAAAAACTATTTTTTAAAAATTGCATAAGAAAATGAGCTGAGAAAAACATTCAACTATCCTTCAAAGGCGTGCGCTCCACCATAATTCTACCAGAATTTTATTTGTCTGAAACCTAAGTCCATTGAAATTGATGTACTTGTTAAATTCATAAACCACAATTCCAGAAATACAAATTATATCATATTCTTATACACTGAAAATATTCTAAAATGTATAAAAGTAAAGCTTCTTTACTAACGCTTCTTTACTAGTAAATATGAAATAATTTTTATATGCCATCTTATTTTCTTCTAGGTGAATCTGTTTTTTCTATTGAATATTGTGCGTGTTCTCATCACTAAGTTAAAAGTCACTCACCAGGCGGAATCCTATCTCTACATGAAAGCCGTGAGAGCAACACTGATCCTAGTGCCATTACTGGGCATTGAGTTCGTGTTGCTTCCATGGCGACCCGAAGGGAGGACTGCAGAGGAGGTGTACGACTACATCATGCACATTCTCATGCACTATCAGGTATGATGTTGGTGTTCTTGCATCTGAAGGCAGCTTGAGAAAGTTGGTATTAAATTTGCCTATAGGTGTGGTTTTAGTTTTGACTACACATGTAGCAAACTGGTAAAAAAAAATAATGTACTGTATCTTTTCTGTTTGAAATCAGATTATTCTTTTTCTTTTACAGGGTCTTTTGGTCTCCACAATTTTCTGCTTCTTTAATGGCGAGGTATGGTGACTGATGTTATTCCTTTTATTATTTTTTTTTATTGGTAACATATTTTTTCTTTAAAAACAAAAAAGATAAAATTGTGAATTCACTAGGAGCGACTATTTCAAATTTTGTTTTTATCAGGAAAGAGAACCACAGAATCTCTTTTCATAGATGCAACTCACCTTCCCAAAAGCCTGGGTCGTTTTGGAGTTCAAGTCTCTGGCAAATTTCAGCCTCACTATAAAATATGCCATAAGTGACTTTTATTTAACTACTCTTCTTACCTATTAAGTCTGGACTTTGACCTATGTGCAGTGCTAGGCAATGTTTGACCTCATAGGACATACATATCTTCTAATAGGAAATAGCATTGGCTTATTTTTATTTTCCCACTTCTTCTGTTTCTGTTTGTTTGTTTTTCCTGCTTGGCCCACAAGGTGGTCTTTGGCAATAGTTTTTTGGTAGATACAAAAGCACTTTTTTTTAAACTCAGTTATATAGGGAGGAAATGCAGCAGGTTAGAAAATTTAAAAGACTAACATTTGAAACACAGCAACGTGGCCTTGGATATTTCAAGATTTTTATGTATTTCTTAAATGTAAAGTTTCAGGAATTTTAGAAACTGGTAGTACTATATTTCATATGCATATGAACAATGTTATATCTCAGTAAGTTGAACTAATTTGATTTAGCTCTATATGTTTTTAATCCACTTGGCAAATTTTAAACTGTTGGAGGATTTTGGCAAAATTCAACCAAGTTTAGAAATCCAGACAGCAACTGTGTGAGACTAGGACACTTGGTAACTGTGAAGTTTATCACGAAACTCCAGAAAACACATGGAACCAGTTAGCATAACTTTATAAGAACCATTCCTATGAAACAAATCAACTTTGGAAATCATGTACATATTAAAAACTATTAAATATTGCTTTCTTTTGCTTAAGTAATATTTTACTTCTTCCTCTTGGCATATAATAAAACTTTAATTTTAATATTTAAATTAAAATATAGTTTAATTTCAAAATATAGGTATTTTATGTAGTTATTTATTTATAATGGGGTGTAAAACTGGCAAACAGTAGACTATATTTAATAACTTTCAGTGGTACTTCCATGATTCTTCTGCTCTCCAAGGGACAAGAGTGACTGTTTTTATAAAGACAATGAGAAGTATAAACAGAAAATGCAATTAAGAAGAATAGATAAATGATTTTTTATAATAAAATTAAAATGGCAACTGTTATGTACCACCATAAATTTATTATTGCATAAAGTGAATGAGACAATTTTATTTACTCCTTATATAGGAATTTGCAATTAAACACAGATGAGAGAGATATGGACAACATGCAAAGAACATGTGTGAAATATGAATCTATATTTCTATATCGGCAGAAACATGTGGGATTTTTATAAAGGGTACAAAACATAATCACTAATATACAAAACATAATCACTAATAAAATATTTTGGGATAGAAGGAAGTACAGAATAAAAGCACTGATGTGGCAATAGGCTTAAACCCCAAAGATTCCACTTTGTTCTGTATGTGGTATCTTGGGAAATACTCGGAACCTCCCAAAGTTTTAGTGTCAACTTTTATTAAAGAAAACTAAAAGCAAATTCCTCACACAAGTCTCACAAGGATTAATGTAAGTTAGGAATATAAAGTGTTTAGCATAATGTTCCACCCTGGGAAGATATTCAGTACATGCTAGATTCCTTATTAGATTTGCCGAGTCACTCATTTTCAAAAATACATTAAAAAATGGGAATATTAGCAATGATGGAATCAAATCTCAAATTGGCCCTTTAATTTAGAAAAGGTGCCCAGGGACTATCTAAACTAATGCTAACACACTTGCTGCACTCTATCTGTGTAAGAAAAGGACAAGCAGCCTTGATCTTCTGCCCTGTCTTAAAATTGAGAAAATTTTGGCAGTGAATAATTACAATAATATAAAATCTTTGAGCCAAGTTGTTGCCAAATCTTTCAGTTCGTCACATCTCCAATATCTGTTCCCTTTTCTTCATCGCTTAAGCCATAATCCCTGTTTGTGTGATTTATTCTCAATTTAATTCTCTTAGTTTTTCTCTTAGTTTTTCTCACTTTTATAAAATAAAAATGCAGCTTCCAAATTCATTTTGTGAGGTTCCAACTGTGGCATGTAATTCTTAAAATCATTTGCTAAGGGTTAGCTCCCTTCCTGCTTTCCACGGTAGGTCAAATAGCTTGCTTTAACGTAATATCTCTGTTTCTGTCTTACTCTCCCTTTTTATTTATTTTATTTTTCAGGCAAAATTTTCTATTTGCATTTTTCACTAGTTAAACAACTGCGGCTTGACAAGTGCTCAGGCCACATTCATCTCATCTCTCGTCCACTTGGACAAAACAGGCACTGTTTGCAGAAACGAGGGACTCGAGTCAGCGGAAGGGCCCTGCTCAGTCTAATGGGTACATTTAACAACACTTGAGAGTAGATATTCTTATCAAGTCAACAAAATTTTGTTGAGAACAACAGCATCCATATTCTGTAATGAGAACTAGGAAGAATTTTTATGTGAAGCTCTATTAAATATTTTTTAATTGGTTCCTTAGAGTTTAAGGGTTATATAAAGTTGTAATGTTCTAAACAGTTGGCCTTACTATTTATATAACACTCATGTAAAACAATAACAAACATTTTAATATCTTTAATAACATCAGGCTTTCCCTGGCTGGTTTGGCTCAGCGGTTGGAGCATTGGCCTGTGGACCAGAAAGTCCCAGGTTCGGTTCCCGCTAGGGTCACATACCAAAATAAATATATATAACATTAGGCTTTCTTCCTTTCCAATGGCAATTTTCATTACCCTTTCCTATTATACTTTTTCTCATTAAAAGTGGCCACTTTAATGTTCTGTTGAACAGATGTGATGATGTATGAAAGGAAACAAATGAAAAACATAACATCTTTTTTTTTTTTTTTTTTTTTTTTAATGAATTTTTATTTATTTTTTTGTTACAGATATTTTACCTTTTTACCCCATTGGCACCCCCCACCCCACCCCCCCTCCACCCTGTCCCCGGCTTAGTTGTCCATGTCCATTGGTCATGCATACATGCATATAAGTTCTGTGGTTTATCTCTTCCCACCCCCCCACCCCCCATCCCCTCTTCTGAGGGATGTCAGTCTGTGCCCTACTTCCATGTGTCTGGGTCTACTGTATTCCTCAGACTGTTATGTTCATTATATTCCATATATAAGTGAGATCATGTGGTATTTGTCTTTTTCTGCTTGGCTTCTTTCACTTAGGATAATACTTTCCAGGTCCCTCCATGTCGTCTCAAAGGATAAGAGATCTTTCTTTCTTACCGCTGCATAGTACTCCATTGTGTATATGTACCACAGCTTTTTGATCCATTCGTCTACTGGTGGACACTTGGGCTGTTTCCAGATCTTAGCTATTGTAAATAGTGCTGCTATGAACATGGGGGTACATATATTCTTCCTGATTGGTGTTTCAGGCTTCTTAGGGTATATTCCCAGCAGTGGGATCACTGGGTCAAATGGCAGTTCAATTTTTAATTTTTTGAGGTAGCACCATATTGTTTTCCATAGCGGCTGCACCAGTCTGCATTCCCACCAGCAGTGTATTAGAGTCCCCTTTTCTCCACACCCTCGCCAACACTTGTTGTTTGATGATTTGTTGATGGCGGCCATTCTGACAGGTGTGAGGTGATACCTCATTGTTGTTTTAATTTGCATCTCTCTGATGATTAGTGATGTTGAGCATTTCTTCATATGTCTCTTGGCCATTTGTATGTCCTGTTTGGAGAGGTGTCTATTCAGCTCCTCTGCCCATTTTTTAATTGGGTTCTTTGTCTTCCTTTTGTGGAGTTGTATCAGTACTCTATATATATTGGAAATTAACCCCTTATCTGATACATCATTGGCAATGATGTTCTCCCATACAGTGGGCTGCCTTTCCATTTTGATGATTGTTTCTTTTGCTGTGCAGAAGCTTTTGAGTTTGATGTAGTCCCATGTGTTCATTTTCTCCTTTATTTCTGTTGCCTTAGGTGATGTATCAGTGAATATTCTGCTCCGTATGATGTCCGAAATTTTGTTGCCTACATTTTGTTCTAGAATTTTTATGGATTCACGGGTCACATTTAAGTCTTTTATCCATTTTGAGTTTATTTTTGTGTATGGTGTAAGTTGATGGTCTAGTTTCATTTTTTTGCATGTAGCTGTCCAATTTTCCCAACACCATTTATTAAAGAGGCTGTCTTTACTCCACTGTATGCTCTTGCCGCCTTTGTCAAATATTAATTGAGCGTATTGCCTTGGGTCCATTTCTGGGTTTTCAGTTCTGTTCCACTGGTCTATATGCCTGTTCTTGTGCCAGTACCAGGCTGTTTTGGTTACAGTCGCTTTGTAGTATAACCTGATATCTGGTATTGTGATCCCACCTACTTTGTTCTTCTTTTTCAAGATTGCTGTGGCTATTCGGGGTCTTTTTTGGTTCCATATGAACTTTTGAAGTATTTGTTCTAGTTCTATGAAATATGTCGTTGGTATTTTGATGGGGATTGCATTGAATCTATAGATTGCTTTGGGTAGTATGGACATTTTAATGATGTTAATTCTTCCAATCCATGAACAGGGTATGTGCTTCCACTTTTTTATATCTTCCTCTATTTCTTTTTTCAATGACCTGTAGTTTTCTGCAAATAGGTCCTTTACTTCTTTGGTTAAGTTTATTCCTAGGTATCGTAATTTTTTTGGAGCGATGGTAAATGGGATTGGAAAAACATAACATCTTTATAGAGAATAATATACTCAGTAAAAGGTTACTGCTGCTGCTGTTGATGATGATGATAATGATCATATTCCTGTACCGCTACTTCTTCTCCTTTTATCTCTTGTCCTCTTCTTTTATACTCTCACTCATCATCTCATTCTATTTATAAAGACACTGATATAAAATTCAAAGTTGCACACACAAGTTTGTAAGTGGGTCTGGATTAATTTTTTGTTTTACAACAGTACATTCATATTCATGATCAACGCTTCCAAAATAAGGCATGGAAAGGAAAATATTGATAGAACCTAAAAATAAAGAGTAATTGTAATGAATTTCCTAACATAAACATGGATCACTCGATTTAATCTTTTAAATTAAGTTTAAAAAGCAGTATTATTCACTAATATTGATGCCTTTTTTAAAAAGTCTTTCTATATAACTTATGTTATTATACATCTCCATTTTAAATAATGCATTGCTCTTGTCCTTTCTGTTTCTTTTTGATTGATAGGTTCAAGCAATTCTAAGAAGAAACTGGAATCAATATAAAATTCAGTTTGGAAACAGTTTTTCCCACGCAGATGCTCTTCGTAGTGCATCTTACACAGTGTCAACAATCAGCGATGGCACAGGTTATAGTCATGATTATCCAAGTGAACACTTAAATGGGAAAAGCATTCATGATATTGAAAATGTTGCCTTAAAACCGGAAAAGTTAAATGATTATATTTTATAATAGAGGCAGTATTGTTTAACTATATTGTGCCACTCTTAACTCAAGGACTTAGATCCATGATTTTATAACCAGAAAACGTCAATATTAAATGAATTTCTTAATTGCCACAAAGAACCCCTCACATGAATTCAGTAGTTTGTTGATCAGTGTTTAACAACTAGCTCTATGGGGGTGGGAGGGGAGGAGCGTAAGCCCTCATTTGTAGTGTTTGCCAGTTTCTAGGATGTAAATAGTCCTACCATGGCTGATTTCAAACTACCAATTTGACATCACTGAATGAGGAATTAGGAAAAGATGAACACAATCAATTATTGTGGCTGGAATCAGCTAGTTCTAGCACGCTGCATGCATTCACAAATGAATGAGGTAAAATTTCATATACATATTGGGCAGGAATCTACTCTTGCTGTCTAAAGAGACCTAGCGAAGGCCTATAAACTTGGATGGAAAATTAGTTTTTCATCTGTTTATTCAAAAACTTGATCCCATATTCATAGGTGAAGTTGATCTTTTTGCTCAGAGAGTATTCCAGCCCCTTTTATGTTTACCCTTGCAAATGGACCAGAGAAAGAGTTCATTAGTCCTGTTGGCTTACCCTCTTCTTCCCAAGAAAGGCAACTGAGCAGAATTTTTATTGGGTATTCATTTGCTCATGCATCAGTTATACCCTGTGTCATATCCGTTATTGAGACTTGATAAATAGTATGTATGATATGCAATCTTACTTTGGTATCATTAGGGAGGCATCTTGGTTGATACTACAAAACACCGTATCAGCTACTTTCTTCTGTTGCTACATGCCTACCTTACCACATAAATGGGAGACAATCATTTTCCCTGTATCTTTTAAAATAAAAACTTTTCCCTTTCCATTTCTACTGTGTAGCTAGTATTTTACATAAAGAATATCAATGAAGGGCTTTTTATTTCTTTAGAAGTTTGTAAAAAAAAAAAACTTGTTGTGAAAGATGAGCTTGTAAATACTCTGTTGTTCTATAGTATAGCCTCAAATCAAATACATACAATCTAAGTAAGATTTTTTAAACAAACAAATACATAATGTAACAATGTATGCATCTTAATATCTGATACTGTGTCTGGGCTGATTTTATAATAAAATAGAGTCTGGAATTTTATATTTGGTAAATATATTAAAGACAACCAGATGCCAGCATCAGACGTTTGAGAACTAAGAAAAATAGCTATGATAAGATATAAAATATTTATTAAAAACAAACTCAAGGCCATTGTTTTATTGAACATATTAACTTTGGTGTGTCATACCTTACTTAATAGATATGTTTGACATATTTCTCTTTTGATTTTGACGACGAACTTGCATTCTAATCCAGAAAATATAAGCCACTCATATTGTAATAAATGCCGTTCACTCCTCTTATAGTTTTTACTCCATTAAAATATTAATTTTCTGACTTATATGAAGTGATATGGTTTTTGAAATGTTCCATTTTATTTTTAAAACTATAGGAATGCAATATATATCAAATACAGTATATTAATATTTTAATAGACCTATGATATATGATGATACAATTCAGTGAAAGATTTGAATATAGCATTGAGGAATAATTGTTGTCAGAATGTTTAAGGAATAATTAAGATGGAAGAAAACCTTGCTAAGGAATTAAAGTGAAACTTAAATGGGATTCAGTTTCCCTGATGCCATTTTTTACTGAAATTTCTGACAAACAGAATACCATCAACTAATAAAAGAGAATTTGGGGAGGAGACATCACTATGTGTATGTTTTTAGAGTGTATTAATTGCTTAAACTGGATTAAACTAGTGACTTAGTCATCAAAGATGGTGACTTCAGAAGTTATTTGAAATTTTCCAGGATAATTATCTAAATAGTAAGGATTAACATATTAAATGGTCTGGCCAATACATTTATAATTTACCCATATACATGTAAAGATTTTATTAAGTTAGTTCAAATTTGTGGATTTTATAGCAAGCTGTCAGAAAAAAGGGACACGGGCTATTCTGGACTATGTACTGCCCAAATTATACACAAATTCACAAATTCCTTTAAATCAGCTCACTTTTAGTTATATATTATTCAGAGACAGATTCAAACCTTTTGCTGACACTGTTTGCATATTTCAGCATTCATCTAGACGAACTGTCCAGTCTCAACCATAAATGATAATAGAAAATGTCAAATCATCAGCTAGAATTATATTAAAATTATACTACAATTTTTCAAGTACTTTTTTTTAATTGATTTTAAGTGAGAGAGGAAGGGAGAGGGGGAGGGAGAGACAGAAACATATATATATGAGAGAACATCAACTGGCCGCCTCCTGCATGGCCCACGGCCTGGGCATGTGCCCTGACTAGGAATCAAGTCAGTGACCTCTCGGTGCATGGGTCGACACTCAACTGCTGAGCCACACTGGCCAGGCACAAGGACTTTTTTATTGTGTTTTTATTAACTTTAGACTAGATTTCCTTTATGTCCAGGATTATCTATTGTACAGTCTTCAATTAATCAGTGTTAATTTTGTACCTGTATTTTTTTTTTAGGGATAATATTTTTCAATATTAGACTTCTCTAAAGCTGAATTGTTAATTAGATCCTTTTTTGTATCTTACTCATAAAGGAAAGGTAAAATAGATATTTTTTAAAATGGACTTCTTTGGTGTCTATAAAATAATTTGGGTAATTTCTAAATTTTAAAATGTAGATGTAGACCTGCTATTTTTCTGCAAGTGCTTGCAAAAGTCACATTTAACTTTTTGAAAATTTTAATCTGTCATTTTTTTTTATTTTCTAAAGTTATTTTCCAGTGCACTTATTCATAAAACATCCATTCTGTAATTTAATATTTGTTCAGATGTAATCCGATGTACATAGACTTAGTGGTAGCTACAGTGTTGTATTTATTGCTTAATACTTTTTTTAAATGTGAACTTATTTTAATTTTCTCTTTGTTTTGATCAGCTAATAGAACCCATCATATTTTATCTGTAAAACATACTCAAGATATTTGATCCATTAAAACATGCTATGCCTACTTAATGTATAGCTCTATATTTTGATTATATGAAAATATTAAAGTTACGAATTAAAGTTTATTTTCACTCATGTTTACTGTATTGCTGAATAATCTAATTTATAAACATAATTCTTCACAGCCATCAATGAAACATTTCTTAAAATCACTGACTACACCTCTAGTACCCTCTTTGAAGTCTTCAATAAAATTATAAATCATTTCATAAATTATATTTTTTTTAAAGTTACAAGTTTATTTTGTTGGTAAGTAAGTTCCAAATAAATTACAAGGCATGCAAACTCCTTCCTGGACCGAAGGAAAGGGTGCCCGTAAACAGGAAAATGTACAAGGCTTGTCTCCTTTCTTCATTATCTTACATTGTGTTGTTTTGTATTAAAAAGCAGAAAAGAAAATAATATTTCAAAACAATTTTTAAGGAGGACATATTTGTGACTCACACAAATACAAAATGAAAACATATCAAAGATTTTGTTTAATTCATTCTTTAATGAAGGAACCAGTAATATGTTACTACCATTCAAAGGAGAAATAAAATGCCACACATATACCAGAAGATGAGAAATCCTGGAATGGCCCAGCTGGTGTGGCTCAGTGGACTGAGTGTCATCCCATGGACCAAGAGGTCCCAGTTCGATTCCCGGTCAGGGCACATGCCCAGGTTGCGGGCTCAATCCCCAGTAGAGGGTGTGCAGGAGGCAGCTGATAGATATTTCTCTCTCTCTCTCTCTCTCCTCCTTCCTGTCTTTCAAAAACATCAATGAAAAAAAAAGAAGAAGCAAGAAATTTTGGAATGAATTCCAGCAGATGAAAAAGAACTCCATCCAAGAGTATAATCAATTGCATTTCACTGGATATAAGGGATTGGCTATAGAAGACATTATGTACATTATTATGCTTTTACAACTCACATAGTTGTAGAAATCTCAAAAACAAAACAAAGGGAATGGAAGGTTACACTAGAAATGATACTCTCCCTCTTTTCCATTTTTTTTTTAACCATTTTAAAGTCTTTCACAATTTTTACTCACAGAAATATGAGTGGAGAGAGGAAACATGGGGAGGTAAAGGCCAGAGGTCGATGGTAAGGGAGAACATTTGTTAACTTTTTAAAAACCTCTGCAGGATGAATGTTACCCTTTCCTTGAGACATCTGCACTGTGACAGTGTTGTGCACAGCGTGCCACAGACCCTGCTCAGTCGTTTCATTTCTCCTGCTTGCCCTGCTTTACCCGGGAACTTCCTTACAGATGCATCTACAAAAATACTTTTTTTTTTTTTTTTAATCCTCACCCGAGGACATTTTTCCATTTTTTGTTCAGGTAGAGTGGGAGGGAGAGAGAGGAACAGAGAGAGAGAGAGAAACATCGACGTGAAGGGACACATCGAGTGGCTGCCACCCACACAACTGACCAGGGCCGGGGACAAACTGCAACTGAGGTACATGCCCTTAGCGGGAACCGAACAAGGGTCTCTCAGGACCGCAGGCCGACGCTCTAACCGCTGAGCCAAACCGGCCAGGGCTACAAAAATACTTTTAAATCTTAGGGTGTAAATAAATCTGATATGCCACCTTCAGAATAAGAAAACTATATTTCTGTGAGATCTAGTTTACATGAATAAGTTTGAAATATGAGAACAAATTCTACCTACTGTGGCATTGCTGGCTCTGAAGGTGTCATTTGGTGAAATACCATGAAGTGTGGTATAGATGAACAAATGCCATTGAATTCCCAATGTCGCGTTAATGGTGTCACCTTAAAGCAGAGATCAGATTATTAGATAAATTTAAATCAACAAGGTGTGTCCTGGCTGGTTTGGCTAAGCAGTTAGAGCGTGGGCCCACAGTCCAGAGAGACCCGGGTTCGGTTCCTGCTAAGGGCACGTACCTCGGTTGCAGTTTGTCCCCGGCCCCAGTTGGGGTCATATGAGTGGCAACCACTGATGTGTCTCTCTCACATCGATGTTTCTCCCTCTCTTCCTCCCTCTCGCTCTATCTGAAGATGAATGTAAAAATGTCCTCGGGTGAGGATAAAAAAAAAATCAACAAGGTGTACTGTGCATCTTTTTAAAAAACACAATACTAGGAGCATCGCAGTATAAAATGGAGTTCTCTCATAGAGATTTTACAATTTAAATGGTATTTTAAAATCTAACATGTCTTGACTTACTTCTTTTTAAATATGATTTTATTGATTTTTCAGAGAGAGGAAGGGAGAGAGAGAGAGAAACATAGAAACATCGATGTGAGAGAGAAACATCAATCGGCTGCCTCCTGCATGCCCCCTATTGGGGACGGAGCCCACAACCCTAGCATGTGCCCTGACCAGGCAGGACTTGAACCAGCACATTCAGTCTATGGGATGATGCTCCAATCCATTGAGCCACACTGGCCGGCCTCGCCTTACTTTTATACTGACATTTCTGCACTAAACACTTTGCATTGCATGATCTTTGTTTTAAACCTTTGAAAGCTACAATTCAAGCTGCACAAATAATTTTACAGTATAGCTCACAGGAGCAGATGGAGAATTAAAATATGTTGAATTAAATCTGGTATCATTGTTCCCAAGTCAAAATAAATTTTTTTTGTTCCAATTAGAGACTATATCAAAACGTCCCAGGCTTTGACCCAGAGACAATTCTTCCCTTGAATCAAAAATTCCTCATTGCTTTATTCCAAAAGTTCTGTAAGCATTATGCTAAACAGCAAGAAAAATTGACCATAGTTCACAGCGTGCAAGGAACAAAGGATGCGAATAGAATAAATACCATGACAGAAAGTCACCTGTATCTCAGGTCGTTCCCGCATGGAGCGTGCACTCTGCTTGCATGTGTGGCCAGAACTCAACAGAATTCACGGTGGAACCGCATCTCTGCCCACTTCAGAGGGTTTCACAAACGCCACACTTCTGGCTGCACATCTATGCTAAACAAAAGCACGGTACGCCCAGCACGCAAGAAATTTATTTCAACCCAAACACAAGGGGATTGTTTTTATTTTTTTCTTTTATTTTTATTCTTGTTTTTTAAAGTATCCTGGGATAAGAGATACAAACCTTTCCTGAATCCCAGCTCTACCTAGGAATTGCTTCTCTCATTCAGCAAATACTTATTATTTAGGAGAAGTATTAGTTTAGATCAGGTGATCAGAAAGGGTTCCCTGATGGGGTCACATTAGAACAGAGACATGTGAGAGCTGTGCGGTCACTTGGGAGGGGAGACGTTCCCGGCACCAGGACCAGTAAGGACACAGATTCCATGGCAGTAATGTTTGAGGAACAGCAAGAAGGTGGTAAAGTGGAGTGGAGCTAAGGAGGGGAGAAAGAGATGAGACCAGAGTCACTAGTAAACATATCATC